CGGGCGCCACTTATCAACGAATGGTGAACCAGCTGTTCAAACCATTACCTGGGAAGTCCATGGAAGCTTATGTGGATGACATGTTGATCAAAAGCCCAAGAGCAACCAACCACCCAACAAACATGAGGCGTTGCTTTGAGATCATGGCCAAATACAACCTGCGCCTAAAGCCCAAGAAATGCGTCTTCGCTGTAAAGACCGGCAAGTTATTGAGATTCATGGTGACAAAGTGTAACGACCTGAAAACCGGCCTAGTAGTTAGCCGTTATTTTAATAAAAATAAACATAATATTTATTTACTCTAAAATATGAATTATTTGTAAAGTTATCCGTTTTAGATGAAAATTGGGTTTTCGGGTAGATCTCGAAGAATGATGACCAACGGTATATAGTTTGTTAAATTCAGAATTGCGTGTAAAGCGTGATGAGTAAAATAGACATTACAGTTGAATAAATAAATATAAAGATAGCCCAAACCTAATCCTACCCGTAGTGGTAATAGCCCAAATCCCAAATTCAACCCATCTGTAGTGTACCTATATATATATATATATATATATATATATATATATATATATATATATATATATATATATATATATATATATATATATATATATATATATATATATATATATATATATATATATATGCACGCATATATACATTAAACCAAGGAAGAAAACGCAAAAACAAAGCTACGGAAAGAAGGAAGAGCATCGCCGCTCCTTCTTCTTCATCAATTCGCCGATCGCACCAGACGAGGGAGGGACTGACTTCGTCGGAGCTTTGCTGGAAAAACTGAGCGCCAGAAAGCCGTTGCTCCTCTGTGCCGACTCCTCGATCGCCGAAGCAGCCCATCGTCACCAGCCTCTTGTTCGGTTGCTGATTTATTTTAGTTCGTCTTCAATTAATCGAGGTCAGAACTTGCACATCTAACGCTAGATTATGTATATAGATTTGAAATTCACGTTCGTAGTTTCGTATGATTGATTACGTGGTTTATTTGTTTATAATTGAATTGTGATTTATNTCTTACTCTAAATTGTGTGATTTGCATGACGGTAAGTGGAAGGTGGTTACACCCGCCACTAGGCCGCTAGTTGAGTTATATGATTGGTTATCTGATCATTGTTACCCCTCTTGTGTTAATTAAATGTAATCATGTTGTAATTTGGAAGTAAATAAGAAATAGAGATTTATGTTGGAATAAGTCTGAATGGTAGAGATGTTGTAAGTAAATGGCTAAGTTACCTAGAGGAACTCTAGGACTGCTTTAGTACAATTGTAAGTATAAATGTCAATAGATAGGATCAGCCCTGCGGATCTGATATCTGGCGGCTGCGGGTTAAAACGTACGTACGGGATCCAAGAACTGTCGTTCCGAAGGGGACAAGGGTACCACCCACCCAGCGGAGAACTCCTTCGTTGGTCATCAAGTTGTGTTGTGTCATAAGGTATTAAATAAAGTAGACTTGAGTCATGGCCGTAGGTAGTGACTCTAAGTCCGAACATAAGGTTGTAAATAAGGAAGTATGGTCTTAGCCTTGTAATTATGTTATGAGCTATGAATGAAGACAGATAAGGTAATGATTTGTGACTTGTGAATTTATTTGGTGACTGTTATGTTCTATTATATTGTATACTTGTGTGCATGATATTGTATGGAGTTATGAGCTAGTGGGTTCGTCTATGTGCGTAGTCGAACGTTAGATAGATTCCACTCAGCTTCAATGCTGAGCGTGTAGCCTTTTTCCTATTTGCTACACGTAGGTAACATGAATGATGAATAAGGAACTATCCTGGAGGGCAGCGAGGGCAGAGAGATGGATGGATGCTGGCTGGAGGAGTTATCTGCTTAATATTTAAGTTTGAATTATTTATGTTTTTAAGGGCAAGAACCCAAAGTTGTATTTTGATTAAATACTTAAAGGCTTCCGCACCGTTTTGTGAACTCCGATGGATATTTATAAATGTTGTTTTTGAATTAAATGTTTTAAATGTTCTGAAAATTAGTGTCTGAATGCCAATCTAGTAGCAACCCGATCCGCTGGTCCTCGTATTCGGGTCACGCGGGTTGGGGTGTTACACAAAGCGAGGGATAGAGCCCAACCCTGAGAAGATCAAGGCGATCACTGAGAAGAGGTCACCCGGTTCATTAAAAGATGTGCAGCGACTAACTGGGCGCGGTTGGCGGCATTGAGCAGATTCTTATCCCGGTCAGCTGAAAGAGCATTACCTTTCTTCAAAGTCTTGAAGAAGGCCATCACCTTTGAATGGGATCGGGAGTGCGAAGAAGCTTTCCACCATGTGAAAGAACACTTAATTTTTGACATAGTTTTATCTAAGCCCATAATGGGTGAAACTTTGTATTTGTATTTGGGCATATCCCAAAATGATGTAAGTTTCGTTTTGATTAGGAATGAAGACGGGCAAAGGCCTATTTATTATGTGAGCAAAGCACTAAATGGGGCTGAGAGCCGGTACACAACAATTGAGAAGACATCCTATGCACTTTTCATTACGGCTAAAAAACTGACCACTTACTTCCAGGCACATGTGGTGGAAGTACTGACCGACCAGCCACTAGGACTGGTCCTTCGCAGTTCCGCGTCTTTGAGGAGGATGATAAAGTGGTTAATGATGCTCACTAGTTCAATATTGATTACAAACCCCTAGTTGCTATAAAGGGGCAAGCCCTTGTCGACTTCCTGGTTGAACTGACCGATCTGGAACCTAAAGCGGGACCATCCCAAACGGTCGAACCGTGGTGGGACATGCCGTGGACGGAGATTTCGAGCCGAAAGGTTGTGGAGCTGGGATTGTTTTCACTACCCCTTAAGGATTTAAGATATACCATGCATTGATATTCAATTTTAAGCCTACCAACAATGAAGCGGAGTACGAAGCCCTTGCCGGTGGACTCTGATTAGCCCGGGCACTTGGTGTCAAAAGGATAAGTATTCGGTTAGATTCAAGATTGGTCGTTGGGCAGGTTAACGGAGAAATGGAGGTCAAGGAGGAACGACTTTCCCAGTACAGAGACTTGATAAGACCCTCCTTAAAGAAATTGAGGAGTTCCGTCTCACCCGGATTCCCTGATTAGAAAATACTGATGCTGACATGCTCTCCAAGTTGATGCAATCATGCCTGGAGCATGTTTCAAAGTTGGAAAAAATTGAGGTTCTAGATGGACCAAGCTTTGAGCGGCTGGACATAACAATGATTTAGGAGGGCCGAAGCCAACCGGTCGGAGTGATCGATGCCGACGAGTGTTGGAGGACAGATCTCATGGAGTACCTGATGACCAGCTAGAAGCCGAAGGACAATGAATGGGCGAGAAAGGTAGTGTTGCAAGCTCCCCGGTTCCAAATTCTGGACGGCCACTTGTACAAACGCGCTTTCGGAGGACCTTTCTTATGTTCCCTTACCAACCCGGAGGCCGAGCGGGTAATAGCAAAGGTTCACGAGGGTTTTTGCACTGCCCACCAGATGTCCTGAACTCTGGCCCAACGAATAATTTTACTCGGCTATTACTGGCCGACCATTGTCCAAGACTGTGAGAGGTATGTGCAAAGGTGTAGGACATGCCAGATTTTTTACAAGCACAAGGGCTGTCCGACTACGTATTACCAACCGACTTCAAATATTATACCTTTCTCCCGGTTTAGAATAGACATCATAGGAGCATTCCCGGTAGCACAAGGTGGTAAGAAGTTTGTTATGGTAGCCATAGATTATTTCACCAAGTGAGTAGAAGCGGAGGCAATGGCCACCATAACCGTACGGCAGTGTGAAAAGTTTGTCTAGAAAACATAATCACCCGGTTTGGAGCTCCAAAGATGATTGTCACGGACAACGGCCCGTAATTTCGCAACCCCTATTTCACGGCCTACTTAGACAGCTTTGGGATAAAACATAACAAAGCTTCAGTAGCATATCCCCAAGGTAATGACCAGGTGGAGAACGCTAACCGAACGATAGTGGATGGCTTGAAGAAGTGGCTGGGGGAAGAGGGGTGCAAGTGGCTGGAAGCATTGCCCCACACAATATGAGCTCACCGGGTAACTTCCCGACGGGTGACATGGGAGACACCATTCGTCCTCACCTACGGATGTGAGGCCCATCTACCGATTGAGGCAGAATTCCCAACTTTTCTGGAGACCGCCTATCAACCCGATCAGAATGAAGCGGATCACTTAGCAGAACTGAACCTGCTTGAGGAGCGGAGGGCTGTTGCTGCCGTCAGAATGGTCGGGTACCAACAGGCCATGAAGAAGTACCACGATAATCGGGTGGGTCCATGTTATTTCCAGGTGCATGACGAGGTCTTACGAAAAAGGGACGCAAGTAAACCAAACGAGAGAGGCAAGCTTGTGCGCAACTAGGAAGGGCCATATCGCATTAGGGCAATTATCCGCCCCGGAACTTATCAGTTGGAAACTATGGCAGGCGGCCGCGTCGACTGGCATTGGAACTCTCACCACTTACGAAAATTTTATAGATAGGCATTGTAATATGTACCCTATCAAGAAATAAAAGTTATTTTTCAGAAAAGACTATTTGCAAAACTGGCCAAGAAATGGTTACAGACCCATATTTCCGGTCAAATGTTCAATCGAATTAAACATTAAAAAAATCCAGCCGATCTTGTCAATGACGCAACCAAAAAAAGGGAGCATCCCGGCTTGGTAAAGTCAAATGAAGAAAATACAGAGGCTTATCTTCTGCTCGGGTAGAAAGCCAATGTGACAGATGGATCGAGTCCATCTGTTCCCAGGCAAGAAACCATTCTTGCTTGGGTTAAAATCACTTGGAAAAAGATTGGCCGGGACCATCTTTTCTCGGGTGATAGGCCAATCTTGCAGAAAGATTTGTTGATTGCGTTAGACTGGGTGGATTCAGCCTGGCAGTTTCTAAGTTATCTGTCCGGCAGCATACACAAAGTTTTTAACTTATTAAACTGCCATACATTAAGAAATTAAAGTACTCGGCACACAGTAGAGAAAAAGAATTCATTGATATTTAAGGTTTTACAAGTTCTTGGGAAGGACGACACATTAAGTATTCAAACAAAAAAATAAATAAAAATACATGTTTCAAATCCCATCGAAGGGTGGGACCGGTTCCTTGTCATGCAGCTCGGGGAGGGAGAAGACCTTGAGATCAAAATCTTGGACCCGCCTGCTCAGGATCTCGTAAGGGCCCCGTACTTCCCGGTCTCAAAGCCAAAGGTCCCAATGTTGTCGATGATTCGCTGGGACACTTCATGCTTGTACAGACCTTGGAAGAATCAGATCACGATCTCCCAGTTGGGAAGCGCCTGGGCGGCAAATTTCTCCAGCTCTTGGGCGGCCCAGGCAGCAACTTGGATAACCCGATCGCTTCGCTCTTTCTCCAGCTTGGCCTTCAGCTGGGCGATCTCTTCATCCGACCGGGCGGTGTTCTCCTCCAACTCAGCGATCCTCTGCTGAGCCTGGTCGGCCTCTTTCGCAGCCTTCAGCAATCCGCCATGCTTGGCGTAAAGGACCCGAAAGGCCTCTGATTGATCCTGGAGCTTCTCCTCTGTGTTGGCAGCCTTCGGCCAGGCTGCCTCAGCATCCTTCTGGCAAGAGACCATCATTGCCTTCATCTGGGCCTTCTCCTCCGACTTCGACTTCAGAAGCCGGGTGGCACATTCTTGGCCGATCCGGCCGACCTACTTTTAAAAGATGACAATTTTTAGGAGGTATGCAAAGAAAACTTGGAAAGAAAGCTGAGGAGGGGAGTCTAACCTCATTCAGATCAGCGTAGAAAGCCTCGAAAAGCTCCTCGTCTGACTGAGACATGAGCATCACGGCTCGGGGCTTGCCCTAGCCTTTGCCGGCATCGGAGGACTGCACCGACTGCCTGATGGACTTTGTCCTATGCCTCTTCCTCTGTAGGTCCTCTACAACGGTCTCCTCGACGGCTGTCTCCGGATGCTTGCTCTCCTGCCCGGCCTCGGATGTATGCCTAGTCTCCTCGAGCATGTTGTCAAACTCCAGGATCTCTATGTCAACATAGAGCTCCCTGGAGTGGAGGGGGACATTGGTTCCCTGCTAGGACTGAGCCGGCTGCTCAGATTGGGCCTGCTGCTGGGTGAGTGTTTGGGAGTTGAGAGTTGCAGTCCCCTCGATATCTTCGATGTCGGGGATAGTGAATTTAGAGTGGAATTTCACCACTGTAAAAAAAGAAAAGAAAAGAGGTCAGCACAAATGAATAACAAATCAAGATTAGGGAAAGATGTTAAGGAAAAGAAAATGGGAGGGACGTTTTTCTTTCTTCCCCTCCACCCCCCCGGCGAGGGGGATTGACGACGGTGGAGCGGGGAACGCAGCATAGAGTAATCGCCTCTGGGATCTCATCCCCCTGGACGATGACAAATTCAGGGTCAGTCTCCGGCCCTGGGTAGACACTCCACTTCCCCACGTTGAAGGGGCCGCAAGTGGAAGTGTCCCCAGCCCGGAGCGTAGCTTCCCAGCCGGCCAGGTCACCGCATTGCGGGCGAAAGGAAACTCGCTGGGAGGAAACTTGATTGCAACATACTTTCCTTTCCACCCCTTGTTAGAAGGGTGTAAACCGGAAAGGAAAGCCCGGCCCTGGTGGGAGGACACAACCACAAATCCAAGGGTCTCCTTGGACCTGGGCCAGACGTTGAACATGTGATCAAAGAGACAGATGGAAAGGGGAATATGAAGAAACCGGCATACGTTTATGAAACTACTAAACATACAATGACTGTTGGGGGCCAACTGCCCGGGCATAATGCCATAGGACTCAAAGAAAAGGACTTTGAAGGGGTGGACGGAGAATTCGCCTAAGTCCTTGATGGAGTGGTAATGGATCCCTATGGTTGTACCGGTATGGAGGGACATGATGTGTAACACCCCAACCCGCGTGACCCGAATACAAGGACCAGCGGACCGGGTTGTCACTAAATTGGCATTTAGACACATTAATTTTCAAAACAATTTAAAACAATTAATTCAAAACAATATTTAAAACATTCATCGGAGTAAATAAAACGGTGCAAAAGCCTTTAATACTTAATCAAAATATACAACTCTGGGTTCTTGCCCTTAAAAACATAATAAATTTAAATGCAATAATAATTAAACTAGATAACTCCTCCAGCCAGCATCCATCCATCTCTCTGCCCTCGCTGCCCTCCAGGATAGTTCCTTATTCATCATTCATGTTACCTACGTGTAACAAATAGGAAAAAGGGCTACACGCTCAGCATTGAAGCTAAGTGAGAACTATCTAACGTTTCGACTACGCACATAGACGAACCCACTAGCTCATAACTTCATACAATATCATGCACAGAAGTACAACATAAATAACATCATTAATATCATATAATTCATCAATCAAGCATAATTACCATAATTAACAACTTATCTCATAATCCGCTTCTTTATCTCTAGGCTCATAACCTATCCTAGGCTAAGGCCAACTACTTTAATCTAGAGTCCTGATTCAACCACATCCATGGAAGAACCTGCTCGATACGATGTCATCCAACATCGGCTGGGTGGGACCACCTACTCACATCCATGAGCAGATCTACGACCCCCGTGCGCACGCTCTACCCAACTGATCATGCGTGCATGTCGGCTCATCACATGACCAGTTATTCCTAACTGTATCCTTATTCTGTTTTCTCGGTCTACCTATGATTCATCTAGGTAGCCTATCCGTATTCGAGTTCATAAAACCATATTTCCAAATTCATACAAGAATACAATATGTTAAATAACATTCATATTCAATAAATAGCGGCCTAGTGTCGGGTGTAAACACCTTTCACTACCGTCATGCAAATCACACAATTTAGAGTAAGAATACGTACCTGGTTTTTCTCATTCAATCAATCCAATATCATCATAAAATATAAATAAATCATAATTTAATTATAATCAAGTAAACCACGTAATCAACCATACGAAACTACGAACGTGAATTTCAAATCTATATACGAAATCTAGCGTTAGATGTGCAAGTTCTGACCTCAATTAATTGACGAATTAAACAAAACAATTCAACGGACAAGGAAGTCGAATTGGCATACGGTGGCGGGGCTGTTTTCCGGCAAGGGCAAAGCAGCAACGTCGGTCGGCTTCCTGGTGACGGCGAAGCAGCAACGCTGGAGCGGCGGCGGCACAGGGAGAGAGCGGCGGTGAACCGGCGTCACAGCGGCGGCAGAATTGCTCCTCCTCCGCTGCCCGGCTCTGTTATCGTGTTCCTGCTCTGTTATTTATTGTCTCTCTTTTTTTCTTCTTGCGCGGCTGTTCTGTTCTTTCTTGCATTCTCTGTTTGTGCGTTTAGATATAAATTGGGGGTGGGAGGGTTCTTGTTTCCGAATCAGGGTAGGTTAGGGTTTTAGTTGTTATTATTATTATTATTATTATTATTATTATATTATAAAATCTTTATATTTATATATTAAACTGTAATGTCTATTTTACTCACCATGTTTTACACTTAAGTCCAAATTTGACAAACTCTATACCGTTGGTCACCATTCTTCGAGATCTATCTGAAAACCCAATTTTTATTTAAAATGGACAAGTTTACAAATAATTCACATTTATGAGTAAATAAATTTAATGTTTATTTTTATTAAAATAACGGCTAACTACTAAGCCGGTTTTTGGGTCGTTACATGATGTTCCTCCACGTTGCCCAGTATGACAACTGGTAACCCTCTGGCAGGAGGTTACGAAGCTCGTGGACTTGAGCTTTTTACATGGTTGACTAGAGCTCTTGGAGCAACCGGTCATCAAGCAAGATGTAGCCCTCCTCCACAGACCGGGCTACAGTAACCACCTGAGCCGCGGACGAGGGAGCAGAGGTTGTTGCGTCAACCAGCTTCTCTTGTTTGGAAGAGACCGGGCGATGACTAGACTCAGAAGAAGAAGAGGAATGGGAGCTGGAGGCCTGGGACCGGGCACCAGAACCATAGGAGTGGATGGAAGGGTTTTGGTTGTCCTCGTTCTCAAAAATGATGAGGAAAGGGACAAGAAGACTTACTTAGAACAGAGAAGACTCGGAGGACTCAAGAAATACTTGATTCGACCAGGCAGTTTTTTTAGAAAGCAAGTTACAAGTGAAGCAATTCAATGGGGAACCTTGGATTATATAGGGAATGTGCTGCCGAGCAGGACCAATAGGGAGGCGACACATGGCAGTCGGAATGATTAGTAATGATAGCCTCTTGGGAAGGGGAAACAAAACGACAAGTAGGCGGCGCCGTACCGAATATCCATAAAAAATTTTTTGCTATCCGCACCCTGGATTTCAAAATTGAAAAATATTAGGCACTGGTTTCCACATGATCCTTCCCGCCAACTTCGCCCGGAAGGTTCAAAGTTCAAAATTTATTCAGCTATGTGCTTTCCGCCCCTGATGGTGCCCACAGAGCCGGGAATTGGAGGACTCCTTGATGGGTATAACCCGTTAATACCACCCGGTCAGCCCATTAATACCACCAGGGCAGTACCTAAAGCTGGCCCCTCAAAACCCGGTCAGCCCGTGTAAGCTGACCGGGCGGATATGAAAGGATTCAGAATAGAGAGTGACTTCACCAGTTGAAGACATGCAGCGTTACCAGTTCAAGACTGACCGGCCGAGTGAACAGTAATGTTGAGACGTGCTTGTCTATTCTTATAAGTAAAAGTAAAAGTCTCATTAGGAGGGCATGCTTAAAATAATCTACACGGCTTGTAAAACTTGTAAATAGTCCCGATATTGATAATAGTAAACTGGGTTACGGTGTTCCCACCTACAACCCTTTCAGTTATCTAGACTTAGTATATGCGTGGTTTTACACCATCAATAATAATAACAATAGTAATTATAATTGTAATCATTATAATAATCATAATAATAATAGTAATGGAGCAATATTATTATATTTGATCTGATTATATTTGATCTGGTCTAATCTCATCGTATCTTATTAGATCTGATATGATTAAATCTAAAAGCATATAATATGATTTGATGTGAATGAATTTGATCTGATTTTAACAACAACAAATAATAAGTGGAAGGGAACTCAGCCTATATCGTGAAAGATTAAGCTATTTGCACTCCAAAATTTGTACTCTAATTTGTATACTACACGGGTAGGTGCACCTTCGTTTTCTGTCAGTGTAATGTTAGGGTGATAGTTGACACAGACACAAAATGTTGATGCAAATTTTTGTTAACGTACCATTATTTTGTGTTAGTGGGAATCATCAAAATATTACTCCCTTCGTCCCCCGAAAATCTTCTTGTTTTGACTTTTTGTGGTTTTTAAGGGGATTTGAAAAAGGTGAAAGTTTACCAAAATATCCTTAATGAAAATGGGTGGGGTGTATTAAATAAGGTGGAAAAGGTGTAATAAATAAAGTAAGTGGGGGTACTTGTGGTATTTTAAATGTTAAAAAAGGTAATGAGAAGATCTGTGTTGGACAAATAAAAAGGGCTAATGGGAAGATATATGTGGGACAGAGGGAGTAGTATATATCTTTAATTTTGGGGACACTCTTTGGTGTAAGTGTAGCTTGGTTGTATCCTTAGTAGACCTGACAAAACAGATCCAGAACCGATTACCCGAACCGAAATATCCGAAACCGAAACCGAAATGATCCGAAAATTGAAGATCCGATATATAACCGAAAACCTGAAATGATCCGAATCGAACCAAAACCGAACTAAATAATTCATATCCGATTTAAATCCAAAACCGATTAGATCCGAAACCGATAATATCCGAACCGATTAAACCCGGAACCGATTAGATCCAAAACCGGTAAAACCCGAAACCGATTTGATCCGAAACCGATAATATCCGAACCCGATTAGAACTAAAACCGATAAATTCAGAACTGTGTTTGCCTTTCACTAAGCATATTATATTTTTAAAATTTTACTTTTATTTTATCACTTGAACTAATTACATTACTTGCTCATTCCCTCATAAATGGATTATATGATGAATTGTATGGAATAACTAAATTTTAACCTAATTTCATCTAATTACAATAAATTTTATTGGTTTGCGAGTTAATTTGATTAGTTTCAAACCAATTCACTCAATATTAGTCAATAGCATTAGATGTTAGTATTAACATTTTGAAAAAACTCTCTAGCGGCAGCATTTATTGACTCTATTAAATTTAATTTTATCTAATGTCAACCAAATACACTCAAACAATTTATAATTTTTGCACTCAATTGAATAAAATTCACTTAGTTTCACCCAATTTCATTCAATTTTTACCAAATTGTATTCAAATGGAACATCACACTATTTGAATTTATCTTTTATCTTTTCATTTATAAACATAAATATATTAGTAGATGTGAGAAACATTTGATATATCAAACCTAAATTTGAAAATCAATTTAATTATATGAAATTTATATCATAATTAAATATATACTTTTTCATAATTTGTAGTCCAAATTTGTAAAATATGACTAAAGAGTCAAAAAGGGAAGATTATTTAGGGTAGAGATAATATAATTAGAAAAAAATATAAAATAATATGAGCTATTCAATAGATTGATAAATGTGATAAAACACAAAAAGAAACAAGGATAATTTAATTTTAATTAGAAAATAATATATATCCAAAATATATTTGATCCGAAACCGAAATATATCTGAACCGAACTAGATCCGAAACCGAAATATATCTGATTCAAACGGTATTCGAACCGAAATCTATCTGAACTGATTTATAACCGAACCGTATCTGAACTGACTCGAAACTGAACCGAACTAAAAAATGTGTAGAACCGAATCAAATCCGAACCGAATCGATTAAAACATATATCCGAACCGAAAAAATCCAACCTAAGACCGATCCGGTTGAGCCCATTGCCACCTCTAATCCTTAGACCAAAGGAACGAAGAAAAAGAAAAGCAAGATTGAAGATCTTCAACACGAGCAAACACGTGCAGCAGATCGGAGGAGTAGCAGCGGAGAAAATCGCAGCTCCCGGGAGAGCTTCCTACTTGGAGCAAATCGCAGAGGGCCGAAGCTTAGGCTCCAATTCCAGTTTAATTCTTCTTCATTTTCTCTTCTCATTAATGCTATTAGTTCATTTCTTATGCAAAATTTTATTAGTTCTCCGTATTATGCTACGTTAAACTCCATAGCTAGGGCAAGGATCAGACTTATCTATTCACCTATTTTGATTTATATTTATGATTTGATTTATCCCATAATATCGTTCTTGAATTTTTTAAACTTATTTTTCCTATTGACTATTCGGATGATTTCTTAGATGAGTTTAATCATGTTCTTCTCATGTTTTTGTGATAAATTATTTAGAGCTTAACTGTAATATTCTCCATGATCACGGGTATGGGTTGCAATCTGTAGGTTCTGGCCTTCTGGGAAAAAATGATGAATTATAATTGAGTTAGAGTTGTATATGTGGAAATAATTGAGTTAGAGTTGTATATATGGTTTCAAATTCCTGGATCCACATCCAGTGGTTAACTGGTTTGATGTGGTTTTGCTCCACCATTTCTGCTTTTCAGGAATCATCATGATATGTTCGTTGCTCACCACTGGCCTTGTGCATGCCTTCTCATAAGCTGTAACAAGTCTGGTTCTTACAGTTGTCTAAGCTCTAATTCTCTTCACTATTCTTCATGCAGGATGGTATTTGGTTATGCATATCTAGCAGCAACAACAGTGATGAGGGTGGAGTGATATGTGATACAGAGGGACTTTGCACCCAAGGCTTGGCTACGAAGAGAATCTTCTGTTATTTTTCAAGAGTTCCTCTGGGTATCATTTCCCTCATTACAATATAATGGCTAAACCACATCCATCTTTTTTCACAAATGTATTCCTTCGTCAAAATCCTAAATCCATCCAAAACTCTAGCCCTAACTCCTCAATCCGGGATCGCAATTTTAGCATATTAGGAGAGAGTGTGGGTAGCGAAGGTTCTATTTTATCGAATCTGGATGATAAAAGAGATGATAAGCAGCAGCACTTAATTGAGATAGCAAATGACGTTTCAAGAATAATACGCACACGGCCGAGATGGGAACAGACTCTTATGTTTGATTTTCCAGGCGTGAATTTCTCTGATCAAAATTTGTGCTGTGAGATTTTAAAGCAACAGAAGAATGTGATTATGGCACTTCGATTTTATCATTGGGTTAGCACGAGGAGCGGGTTTTCACCTGATCTGGTTTCCTCTGATGTGGTTTTCCGTGGGCTTG